GGTTGAGAACCAGTGACTTGGAGCAGAAAGTACAGGATGAATGCCTGAGTCTTCACCAGACTTCAAGATAATAGTTCCCTTATAACCCCACTGCAGTGGAATTGGTTCTGACTCAAAGCGACCAGCAGGAGAGAACAGAACTGTTCCACAGGGTTTACATGGCTGTCATCTTTACAGAAGCTGACGGCTTCATCTTTCCCTGGGAACATTGGCACTGGTAGATTCCCACTGCTGATTCCCACTGGGTTTGGTTGGTCAGTCACTTACCCACTGCACCAATGAAGTCCTGTTTGATTCTTAACATCGCTGTGAACTCATGAACTTAAATGCTTGGCAACCTAAATATGTTCTCTGTTTTTCAAACTATTAACTATTGGTCCAGTTGGGAGGATTTTGCATTTCTTCACATTGAGTTGTAATGCATGCATAAGGTTGTAGTCCTTGATTATCATTAACAAAAACAAATTCGTTTTATTTCAGCCCACAAAGGTTGTATCATCTGCATATCATTATTGTCAATAAATCTAATTCTAATACTAATGTTGAATTTCTCTTCAGATAATCTAGCTTCTCATATAATTTGTTCACTATACAGATGAAATAAGTATGATGAAAGTCTATACCCTTATAGCCTTACAGCCTTATAGCTGTACGAGCCCCCAATAAAATGATTTTTAAAAGAAAAAAAAAAGAATATTTGATAGGCTTCGGTCCACCTCAGTTATTCTTACTGATGTTTAAAAATCTTCCTATCCTTGACAAGTGAAAGCCTCTTCAAGTTAGCTCCTGAGTTCCTTTTTACATTAACCCAATAGTAGTGGGTAGCATCCTTCCTTGAGGGTCGTGATACACTGCTTCCTTTCGGTGGGAAATAATGCTTAGAGACCACAATCCAGACGAGTCCACCACTTGCATCTCTTAGTTTTCATTTCCTTTTAATAAACACTACCAACTTACTTTTCAAACTTCCAGATCATTAGTCTTCGTTCAGGAAAATCGAACCCAAACTTAAAAATAATCTATCTTGACTTACTGACTTCTCAATGAGAGCACGTAAGCGAACACCCACATTCATCTCACATGTGGGGGATAAGTACGATGGCTCATTATTTATGCACAAAACTAGCCTACGTAATCTGCAAATTTCATAATTTAGGATACAGTTAAGTAACTCAATCTTAATTAATCTCCCAAGAAGCAGCAGTTATTTCTCTATGGGAAAACCACTCTGAGAAAGTATAGAACAAATGTTCCCAATACTTAAGAACCAGTGTTAGAGGAGGTCAGAGAATCAGAATCACACTAATATAAATAAATGCCTCAGTGCAGCAGAAATCAAGAGTCGAGTGTTCTATTTCCAGATGGCAACGAACGGCAACCATATTACACTTAATTCATAAAACATAGTACTTGGCACTGTATTTTAAGTCCCTGATAAATGCCAAATGAACTAACATACCTCTTTGACTTCCTTAAAAATGCTTACAAATTCTTGATTGATGGCTAAACTTCTGCGTTCAATATCTCCACGTAAATTTCTCCGAGTCCGCAAACTATTTTCAACAAAAAAGGCTGAAAGTGCCTTGAGAGCTTCCAGCATCTCCTAAACAACGATAGAAGAAACGCGCTTACCTCCCGAACATGGTTGAGACCGATTTTCAAACGCTTCCCTACCCTCAAGTAAAAATGAAATGAAATCATTGTCGGATAATTTGTTTTTATTAAACATCTAGAAAATATGGGATGATTTTCACTTTACTGAAAAGCAAACTTCATTTCTAGAGCAAAACTATGGCATACGTATTTGTGTGGAATGGACTAGGCATCAAGTAATTCACAATAGAACTGTTTGGAATCACAGAATGCTAAAATAACCAGTGTCAATCTAAAGGAAACTGGTTATATAAAGTATGCCTATCATTTAAAAAGTCAACCAAAACCCACTGCCATCAAGCCAATTCCAACTTTAAAATGCTAGCTTTTTTGGTCCTGAGTGGTCTTGTGGCAGTTACATAATCTCCTGTCAACTTGAGCGAAGGGGTGGAATCTTAGCCTTTAGATCAGGTCATAGCCTAGGGTGCCTCTGTGGGCATGGCCTTCTCCTAAGGATTCTGGAATCTCTTGTGTTCCTCCCTGGGAGCAAGACACACACACGCCCTGCAAGGCATTCCTGTTAACAAGCCACATGGAGTTATGCTGATGGAGCCAGAGTCCTGGAGCTGAAGGAGCCACGTAGAGATCCTTACCAGGGCTTTGATGCTTACACCACTGGATTCACAAGACTTTCCACCCACTGTGATCTTCCTGCATTCGGTGTCATTGCATGTGTTGCATGAGTCTGAAGAGGAATTTATAGACTTGTATTTGATATATGGGCTAATATCAGACATCTGGACTGGGCTGGGGTGTTTTCTCAATACACAATTGCTCTTTTATATAAAGCTCTCTCTTACATACGAGGCTCTCTGATTTGTCTCTCTAGTAATCCTGGGCTGAGGTTACCATACTTTCCTCCCTCAGAGCAAGTGGTGGGTTCAAACTGCTGACCTTTTTGATGCCAGCTGGAATCTAAGGCACCTCTTTAGGTTAGTCGGCCCTCCAAAGAACTAAAAATCCCCTTAACACTCCCCTGGTGGTATATCAGGTTGCTCTTTCGACAAAGTCAAAGGTTCAAACCCACCAGCTGCTCCTCCAAAGAAAAACGAGGCTTTTTGAAAAACCAAAGAGGCAGTTCTACTCTGTCCTATCAGATCATTACTGAGTCGGGATTGACTCGATGGCAGTATGTTTGGTTTGGGTTTGCTTAGGGGTCCAGCTGCAGAGGACATCTACCGAGGACGTTGATCCCCAAGACAGGGAACAAGATCTCATACCTGTTGCTGACTTTTACGGACTTTGCTTAGTAATCATGTTGCTGTAATTAGGTGCCATGGAATCGGCTCCAACCCATACTGACCTTAAGCACATCAGAATGAAACACTGCCCAGCCCTGCACCATCCTCACAATTGTTCCCAGGCCTGGGCAGCCAGTGTCAATCCATCGATCCATCTTGTGAAGGGCCTTCTTTTTCGCTGCCCCTCCACTTTACCAAACATGTCCAAAGTACCTAAGACTAAGTCTCGCTATCCCTGCCTCTAACGAGCACTCTGGCCATACTCTTCCAAGACATCGCTATCTCATATTAGCACTGCTCCATTTTTGTGACTTTTCTCCTTTAGTAATTCTATCTGCCATGAAAACACTTTTTATTTTTTATTTTATTCTTTCATGGTTTCCTCCCTGAAGGAGAACGCATTAAGTTAGCCCAATCGACAGCTAGGGCCAACAACTGACCACTCGACCCCGCCCCCCTTCCTAAACCCCACGCACGAGCAACCACTGCGTCCCAGAGCCGCCTCCGAACACACACTCCAACCAAATTCGCCGTCATCCAGGTCACGGCCTCGTCTGTCCACCGCAGAGGAGCTGGTGGTCTCGAACTGCTGACCTTGCAGATGACAGCCCTAAGCATAGCCACCAGGGTTCCTCGCATAGAGGTTATTTCACATGAGCCTTGGGCTACTCCAAGTCCTGGTGACCCGCTCAGCTCCACGTCCACGTCCCGCCAGTGCCTCCTCCGCGCACCTTCTCAGCCGGACACCCCCGAGGCCCTTCCCCGCGCCGGGGGTCCGGGGTCGCCTCGAGGGTCAGGGGTCGCCTCGGGGACCAGGAAGGAGGCGGTGAGCGCCAGGCAGACGTTTCCCCCGGTCAGAAGCCGCCCCCGGACGGACACCGCCTCCAGCCCCCACTACCCCGCCGAGACCCGACCCGCCGGCCCTTCCAGCTCCGCGTACCTTGTCGTTGTCCAGCCGCGTCTCCAGGATCTTGTGCAGCTTCCGGGACAGCGGGTTGTTGGTCTGCGCCGAGGTCCCGCCGCCCCCATTGCTCAGACTGTTGATAGCCCCCGACTGGGACAGGGCGACCACTTCGCGGCTGCCCTCGGCCATCGCGCCCCGCGTCCGCCGCCGCGGAGGACCTGCCACCTCAGCCCACAGTGGGAGGGGCCTGCGCCGGCGGGGCCCGGCACTGCGCATGCGCCCGGCGTGCGGCGCGTGCGCCCCTGCCGCCGCGAGTCTACGGGGCGCTCCGGGAAACGCCGGGAGGAAACCAACCAGCAAAGGCTGGCGGCTGGGGCGGAAATTGATGTGAAATTGACACGGTTTCGCGTTGAAGACGGGCTGTGTTTGGAAATGGTCGGACTAAAAGGATGTCAGAAACCTGCCTCTATAAGATTCTGATCGCATGGGTGAGAGTACAGGAGGAAGGTTTTCACACTAAAATATATTTTGATGATTCTCGTGGGGAAGAGAAAGGACGGAGGAAAACAAAGAAAGGCTTGGACAGACATGCAGGCTGCACAGGCATGTGGGGAGAATGGCAGTCTACCCACAAATGCATGTAGATGAGATAGGGACTGTTGACGTGTGTGTGGTTTTTTTTGCTGTAAACATATTCACGACTGTGATGGAGCACACACGGAGCAAAGTTCTCAAAACTTCTTAGACGTCACCAAACACCTTGAGGGAATGGGTTCTTGGGGCCTGGGAAATCAGACCATAGTTAGGGACCCCAAGGTCAATTGCAATAACATAGTGCACAGTATCAATCCCTCTAGACTTACGGGTAAGACCGTTTCATGCTGCTGTTGTTCTTATTAAGTGATATTGAGTCAGTCCCTACTCACAGCGATCCTATGTACAACAGAACTCACAATCGTTGCTGGGTTCAAACCCATTATTTCAACCACTTCATTGATTCAACTCATAAGGGTCTTCCTTTTTTGCTGACGTATTTGTTCTTTTTCGCTGGAAGCCGTCATACTCTGCGAGCAGCTAGTTCAAAGGTATCAATTCAGTCTCCCCTATTCATTGTCCAGCTATAGGGTGAAATGACTAAAACTACAGTGGCTTGGAGCTCATACACATTAATGAGCAAAATGACATCTTTTGTTTTCAAAACTTTGAAGAGATCCTTTGCAGCAGGTTTTTTCTAATGCGCTGCACCATTTTTATTTCTTGACTGCTTCCGTGGGCATTGATTGTGGACTCAAATAAAATGAAATCCTTGACAACATCACTCTTTCTTCTATTGATCATGATGCTGATTACTGGTTCCGTTGTAATTATATGTGTTTTCTTTATGTTAAGGTGGGATCTATCCTGAGAGCTATGGTCTTTGATCTTCATCAGCAAGTGCTTCCAGTGTTTTTCATTTTCAGTGAGCAAGGCCCTGTCTTCTGCATTTTTCATTTTGTTAGAGTCTGCCTCCAATTTCGGTTTCATATCCTTCACATAATCCAGTTTCTCGGATCAGTTGCTTAGCATACAGATTGAATATGTGTGGTGAACATATATAACACCATCTCAGATTTTAAATCACATAATATCTCCTTCTCCTGTTCAAACAACTGCCTCTTGGTCTATGCACAATTTCTACAGGAGCACAATTAAGTGTTCTGGGATTCTTATTCCTGGCAATGGTATCCATAATTTGTCATGATCCCCACAATGGAAGAATAAAATACAGGTATTCTGTCTGGTGTTCTCTGTTTCCATCCAGACCTATCTGATATCAGCAACGATATCCCTTCTTCTTTGTCCTTTTGTGGATTCAGCTTGAATTCCTGGTAGTTCCATGTCTGTGGTACTGCTGCAAGCATTTAAAAAGGCCCTTTAGCAAATTTTGACTTGTGTTTGAGATTAATGGTACTGTTGATAATTCCCACGGTCTGTTAGATCTGCTTTCTTGCTAATGGGGTCAAACATGGATCAATGCCTGTCGGTTGACGAAGTAGCTCAATTTCAAAGGTCTTGGCTAAAAAAGTGAGCACTTTCCCTGTTGTTCTCATTTGTTGAAACATCTCACCCGACATGCCATTAATTCCTGAAGACTTGTTTGCCAATGCCTTCAGTGAAACTTGGACTTTTTTCTGAAGTACAATAAAATATTCTCAGTCAAATAATTTCTTGTGTGCTGGGGGGTGGGAAATTAACCTGCCTGAAATGTATATGCCTTCCCCTTCAGTAAAATACCTAGGGGTCCCATCATGTGGGGCATGCTGAGATGTGTCTTCCAAAGTGAAGGATAAGTTGTTGCACTTCACTGTGAAGCCCTGGTAGTGTAGTGGTGAGTGTTGGACGTGTGCTCTGCAGTTCCAAACCACCAGCAGCTTCGTAGGAGAAAGACTGGGCTTTCTACGCCAGTAAACAGTGACAGCCTGAGAAACCCACAGTGGGTCACTATGAGTGAGCACTGACTCAATGGCAGTAAGTTGGACAACTACGAAGGAGGCACAATCTATGGGTCTTTGGATGGTGGAGGCAGCATATCCTTTATTTAGGTGTACTACTTGGCTTGTTTATCAAGCGGCTGAAAAGCTGCTAGCTCTGGGTGGGTCTCACAAGAAGAGACAGCTCTGAAACAGGTTCAGCTTGCTATGAAAGCCTCTTGGACCACACAAGCTGGCAGTTCCTGTGACACTGGAAGGGAAAGGGGCTGTTGGAACTCTTTGGCAAGCACCTCTTGGTGAATCACAGTCCAGGCCCTGTGATTTGGTAGCAAAGCCCTACCATCGTCTGTAGCTAACTTCTCTCTTTCTGAGAAACCGCTTTTGGGATGTTACTGGGCCTTAGTAGAGTCTGGTACCTCACTATGGGCTACCAAATCCCCAAAAGGCCTGCCTTGCCCATCATCAACTGGCTGTTGTGTGACTCACCGAGTCATCCAGTCAGATGTATGCAGCAGTCCTCCATCATTAAATGGAAGTGTAATCTATGAAATTGGGCTCAGGGGGCAACAGAAGGTACAAGTAATCTACAAGTAAGATGTGGCCCCAATGCCCATGGTCTCCCCTTCTGTCACACTGTCTTCCCTTTTTTAATCTGTACCTATGATCTCATGGCTCCATCCCAGGAAGAAAAAACTTATGTCTGGTTTACAAAGGGTTCTGGTACAATAAGTAAACATCATTTGAAAGTGAACAACAGCCACTCTGTAGCCCCTTTCTGTAAAGCAGGGTGGGGTGGGGAGGAAATCCTCCCAATTGTCTGAACTTGGAGTTGTTCACTGGATTGCTCACTTAATTCGAAGGGGAAATGGCCAGGTGAGTATCAGTATACCTATATCGATTTATATGCTGTGGCCAATGCTTTGGCGCATGGTCAGAGACTTAGAGGGAATATGGTTGGGAAACTGGTGATAAGGAGATACAGGGAAGAGGTGTGTGGATAGACCTTTCTGAATTGCAAAAAAAAAAGAGAAGATATTGATCACTCCTGTGAATGATCACCGAAGAGAGATCTCAACAAGGAGGATTTTAAGAGTCAACTGGGTAGGATAACGCATTGTTTGGAAACCTGCCATCCTGATGCCCCCGCCATTTCTGTCAATGCCCGATGTGCTCTTGAACAACGTGGCCGTGGTGGAGAGATGGAGGTTATGCATTGGCTCAGCCGCAAGGACTTCCACTCACCACGGCCAACTCTGCTACAGCCCCTGCTGAGTGCCCAGCCAGCCAGTCGCAGAGACCCACGGTGATCACTGGCATCATTCCTTGTGGTGAGCAACCAGTGACCTGGTGGCAGGCTGTTTTTATGGGACCACTTCCGCCATGGAAAGAGCAGTTTTCCTAGGATATAGGTCGCAATGAGTCAGCATGGACTCAATGACAATGAGTGAGTGAATGAGGGTAGGCACTTTGGACATAAATGTGCTTTCATGCAAACAATGATTTTAACACATGACCATCTGTGGACTCACGGAACGCCTTATTCTCTGTGATGGTATGCACACAGCATTGCCTCAGATTAAGTGACTCCATACACTCAAGCGAGGAGTGGCAATAGGCCCATGCTGATGGAATTAACTCATCTTATCATGTCCTGTTCATATTAAAGCAGCCAACTTGGTAAAGTGTCTGAAAGGCCTTCTAAAGGCAGTTGCTGTCCCAGTTAGGCGACAACCCTTTACAGGGTCGTGGCACTATTCCCCAAGAGGCTGTATATTCCCTCAACAGAGTCCGATGCTACCCGCCACCTGGGCTCCTCGTGCCTCCGGATCAGCAAGCAAAAAAGGGAGTTGCCATATTGGCTGCAGTAATTGATCCAGATTGCCAAGGGGAAGTTGTGTTACATGACGGAGGTAAAGAAGATTTTGTCTAGAATCCAGGCGATTCCTCAGGATGCCTCTTAGTTCTACTACCCCCTTTAACTAAGGTCCATAGAAAATGATAAGTGAATTGCCACCTGACTATTAAGGCACCAGCCTTTCAGGAAGGGAGACTTGGCTCACCTCACCAGACAACCACACCAGTTGGATGCTTGCCAAGGACAAGGGGAATATAGAATGGGTGGTGGAAGAAGGTCGTTCTAAAGACCAGTTATGATGACCACATGACCAGTTGCAGAAATGAGGAGTCTAAACAAGCATGTGATTATTATGAGCACTTTTATCTTATTTCATTATATATGTAGGGGTGTGTTTGTATAGAGCTACAAATAATCAAATCCACTAATGTAGAATCACTTCCAACTCACTGAGACACTTCATAGGGTTTCTCATGTTGTAAGTCCTTACTGGAGCAGAAACCTCATATTTCCCATGTCATGAATGGTGCATTTGAACTACTGAGCTGGTGGTTAGCAGCCAATACATGCATGTGTGTGTTTGTGTGTGTGTGAACATGCACATACACACACATGCGGTGGTGCTTGCAAAAGTTCATGGAAAACTTCCATTTGTCTTATGAAATACACACACACTTTTGTTTTCTTCTCTTACTCCATTACTTATAAAATACAAGATGTGCTAAACATCTCTAGCATATTGTTGCTTGTATTCGTTCTGGTTGTGTCATGACTTTGTAATTGTTAGACACAGAATGACTTTCTAACTGTCTTAATTTAGAGACTGTATATTCTCTAAGGAGATGTACACAGGTTCTAATTGACAAAGGATGGATGGTGCCC